CTCGAATTTTGGGGAAGAAACGCAGACAGTCAGACACGCAGACACTGGAGTACTGGACAGCCACAAACGCACACACGAATTTAGGGTTAGCCGGTTAGGGTTATTAGATATTAGATATTAGATATTTCATATTTAGATCAATAGAAAATATTAGTTATAAAATATAATATAAAATAATTAAATATATATTTTATATATATATTATATATATATAAACAGGCCAGGCCTGCAGGCTCATAGGCCAGGCCTTCACATATAGGCCTGATCCTATTTAACTAAATAGGCCTAGGCCTGGCCTTTTAACTAAACAGGCCAGGCCCTAAACAGGCCAGGCCATAGGCCCCTGTGTAGGGGCCTGGCCTATTCCCACCCCTACCCGAAACCATGTCCAGACACATTCAAACACATAACGACAACACCACGTATTCAATTAACGGAATTAAACCAAGAATTATACCAAATACGTTCTAACACGATTCCTAAACATGCCAAGACTCCACATTAATCATATAACGGTTCAGGAACATGCGGAACCACAAGAACATCAAGAAATCTATATGTAAAGTCCTAAACACAAGTCATAGGCTAGACTCAACACCCGATCATGCATAAACCCACCCAAATATACCAGAACATCATATACGAAATTCACGATATAAACCCTAGGGCTCTAGACATAATTAAAATACAAGATCATACATATAATCAATCACAATATCAAGAACATCAAGATTATCAAATAAACACTATAAACCCTAGTCAAAGCTCTATCAAGACTCAATCACAGAATTACACATACGATTATCAAAGGAGCCAATGAATAAAATATAGCAAGGAAAATAGGTTTTGTCGAGACATGGGTTACTTCTTAGCCCCAACCAATATCCCTGGCTACTAAGGTTCTCCTTCCAATTGATATTCCTAGGCTTGTTGGTGGAGGATTTCCTCGGCTGGAGTTCTTGCGAGTGATTTCGAGTGAGGGAAGGGAGAGGAAGGGTTCTATCTGTTTCCTAATCTCCTATTTATATGTTTAAGGGAAGCCTATTCAAGGTCTGAATAATAAGGCCCGCTTTCCCTACTCCCTATGGGCATAAGGTTCCTGGTTCAGGTAAAGGTTCACGATTCATCATGGACCACCTTCTTCATGTAGTATCAACTTCTTTAGCACTTGTTACTCAGGGAACTTTTCGTGAGTTTAAAATGACTCAAAGACACATCTATATGCATAGTAATTGGTTGTTTTCATGGATTTTGATAAAGATCCATCTCAAATATTTCCAATGGATCCACTTGTGTTGTATGTTTTGGAATGAATTTCCTTCATCATATTAACTCTGTTGTTGATAATTCAAGTTTGGCACTTCAAGAAGTTTTTATTTGCTCCTCAAAATTTGTTGGTGCCCTGCTACTATGGTTTGCAAGTGGGTCAAATATGAATATCAATGCAAGAATATCATGCAAGTAGCATGGATCATACTCCGGATCTAACTATTTAGTCCAAGTGTGACACCCGAAAATCCAATTCTTAAATAGAGTTGATTATGTAATTAATTCCAAATATTCCTTGTGAATTTCTCTTCCAATTCCTTAATTAAAAGTCGGAGGACTTAAATTAACCAATCCCTTGGTCAATTGGTCTAGTCAAAAGAAAAGACCTTGAGCTTTATAAGTTGTACCTAGCCTTTTTATGTCTTCCTAGCCTTTCAATAAGGGAGGGCATTCTAGTCCTTTCATCCTTACTTGGCATTCAAGCCTTACCCTAACAAGATTACACTTCATTTCCTACATTTGGTAAGAAAACACTAGACACTCTACCTTCTCTCTAGAAAGCCTAGCTTACTCTCCAAGCCAAGTAAAATCCACCTTCATCCTTGCAAGAGAACTCTCCAAGATTCCACCTTTCTACCATCAAAGCACTAGGAAGGGTAAGATCTTAGCATAGATAGTGTTTTTGGTTAGTTTTACCTCGTCTTTATCTAAGTGGTGGTTTTCTTTGTGTGGTTTTGGTTTATGATAAGAAGACTTGGTTGAGGAATAACTTCAAGGAGAAGTCTAGGGGATAAAAAGGAAGTGTATCTTGGTCTACAAAGGTAACTCATGCTCTACAAAACCTATTTTATACTTGTTATGATGATTTCTTGCTACTCTATTGATGTTCTTGAGAGATTTGATGCATAATCTTGTGTTTATGCATGTTAGAGCTTGTATCTAGGGTTCATAAATGCTATTCATTGAGCTATTCATGTGTTAAGTCATTTCCTTGTTGAAAGAGAGGTTTTGGATGTTTTGAACTTGAACTTGGCAATGTTGATGTTTTTCCCCGAAGGGAATTATTGTGGGTACAGGCACGTACCCGCGGGTGGCAGTCCACCCGTCGTTCCACCCGCGGGTGGAAGATAAAGGGCCGGCGGGCAGAGCCGCGGGTGGAGGCCCACCCGTGGTTCCACCCGCTGGTATGTGTTTGGGAGAGTGACGGATGGTTGTCCACCCACCGTTCCGCCCACTGGGTACATGATGCTTTGGCCTCCATTTTGTTGAATCATGGTGCACTTGTGCGTCTCCTTTGATGTTTCGTATGTCTAGAACGGTGTCCTAAGTATCCATGATAGGATTATGAGTCTTGAATCGTGCTTATGGTCCAACCTTGTGATTCGTTGGATTAATGTGAAGTCGTTGAGGTTGATTGAACTGTTATGTTTCCCCTTTTGATGTACATGCTAGTTCTAATGTTGTTGATGCTAGTATGTGTTGTTCGTTTGTTCTTAATGAGGATTGGCAACTTGTGTTCACTAGTACAGATTTGCATATCCGCTACCCTTGTACAAGGGTAGCGGATACTAGAGTTGCTGAAAACCCTAAGCTTTCCGCTACCCTTTTTAAAGGGTAGCGGAAAGTTAAGCATTCACTACCCTTCTCTAACCAGAAGGGTAGCGGATTCTTTTTTTTTTTTTTTTTTTTAATTAAAAAAAAAATTATTATTATATTTAAATTTTCTAATTTTTTAAAAATCCTATACGGAATTCATACACTACATATCAACATAATATTAAGAGTGAATTTCATTTTTAGTCCTACTGTTATAGGGGTGTTTCCAATTTCAGTCCACTTTAATTTTTTTTGCCACTTTACAACCACTGTTATTGAATGTGTTCCACTTTTAGTCCACCGTTAATATTTCCGTCAAGAGGCCGTATAATCAAAGGGTATTTTGGTCTTTTTATGTTTGTCTCTTCTCTTTTAATCCAGGCGCTTCGTCCTCCTCCTTCGATATTCGAAGATGGCTCTTCGAACAACGAGAATGGGAAGCCAAAGCTACATCGTTTCGTTCGTTCCAACATGGGCCGTCAAGGTTTCTTAGGTTTTAGGTTTAATGTTCTCATTTCTTTAGTCAAACATAGTCTTGGATGAGAAGAAAGGTCAAAATACCCCTAGATTACACGACCTCTTGATGGAAATACTAACGGTGGAACTAAAAGTGGAACACATTCAATAATAGTGGCTATAAAGTGGCAAAAAAATTAAGGTGGACTAAAATTGGAAACGCCTCTATAACAGTAGGACCAAAAATGGAATTCACTCTAATATTAACCATCAACACAATATTAACAACAAACCATCAACATAATATTATCAACAAACCATCAAAACACAATATTATCAACAAATTATATTATAAATACAATATCAATACACAAGCTCATACATGCTGATGGCTATGACATTAATCCTTGATGAGTATACCTGCCTAACTTTATGTCTTTGATATTTATATGAGCTAATAACTAATTGAACTTGAAAAGCTACATTGCGATATCTCCAAGCTTCTTCTAATGCCCCCCACGATATCTTTTGGCATGGCTATAGTGTATGTTACCACATCAAAGTCTGGGACCTATCAAGGTGATGGTGTAAACTCTGTTAACTATGTTCTATTCTAATAATGTCTTTAGGACTTGCTTTAATTCATCACAGATGCATTCTATTCTCGGCTGTCTCATAGCCCATGCACAAAATTAATTCAAGCTCATAATTCCCAGAGACCAATTCTCAGTGGACCAACTTCTCCATCTTCAAGCAATTCAAAATTCAAAATTGCCAAGATTTCCAACCAACACCTGCAACCAAACACTTCAAGTTTTGTCCAGCTCACAGATTAATCATCCCCATAAACCACCTAAACACACTGGTCCACCAAGCTTAGTGGACCTTCATCACAAATCAGTAAATATTTCCTATGTAGATATTTGCTAAAAATTGTTTAGTTTCTTAAGATTAAATAATCTTAAAATATGATATTTATAAGATTTACTATATTTATAAATTTCTATGTAAATACTATAGATGTAGATATATATTAGAATATGTGATAAAAGCAGAAGAAGAAGCATAAGAAGGCAGCCAACAAATGTGGATATATAATGCAAACTACTTGGATGGCAATGTTTCACTTGCAAAATTCAGAGCAGAAGTGGCTATATATATATATATATATATATATATATATAAAACAACAACAACAACAACATAGATAGCCTCAAAATCTCCATGACAGAAAGAAATAAGCAATATACAGTAGTACACTACTGGAAATTCTGAAATTTCCGACCACTCGAAAGTGATCTTAAATCAAGTTGAAAGTCTTGTTCCGACCACTTTTGGTATCCGGAAAAACCTTTGTTGCTATTTCCGACCACTTTTTAGACTTTTTGGTATCAACTTAATTTAAGATCATTTTCAGGTGGTCGGAAATTTCAGAATTTCCAGTAGTGGTAGAACCATAAAGGAAACAAGAAATAAGCACCTGAAGTTCGAAGGGGAGGATGAGTGGTAAATTCAAAGCAAGTAGTTAAGGTGTAATGTATACTTACAATTTTATGAAATACTTCTTGTGTTTTTTTTTTTTGTTTTGAATATAATAGTCTAAAGAGTAAAAAGTCAATGTTCTGTTTAAACAAGGGATTGTAGTGTTTACATGCAGGTGACTATTCATTGAAGATATCAACAACGGGAGACAAGCATGATGTTCCTATGTAGCTCTAGTGATTTATCAGTTGCGGTAATGCAAGGCTGTTAAACAAAAAGATCTCCCAATAACAAGGCTAGCCATAATTCATGAAAATTTTGATTATTAATTAATAACAAAAAGGTCACGTTTTGGATATATTAAAAGCAAAAGAGAGTTAAAGATGCATACCAGACAGGAAACAGGTTCTGTGTTGCAGCTCCACTTTGAAGTAGGAACACAACTCATATAGTGACACCAAGAACAATGGTCATTCAAGTTTACTCCACGAAGAAGTATAACAATGGCAGTGGTTAACCTATTAAGATAAATATAAGTTTAGAACCACATAGACTTTTTCCCCCTTTTTGCCAGAGGAATGGTGTGCCAAATATATATATATATATATATATATATATATATATATATATAATGAATACAATGTAATAAATGACTGCACTACTAGTGCACTCTACATACTGTTCTTCCATGCTTATATTTGGATTGTGATATTTTCATATACGGAGTAATTGATTTTACAGATATAGTAATCCGGACTATTCCCACTGTTTACAGAGAAATTCCAAACCAAAGTAAGGTTTAAAAGAAGAAGAAACACCTTATGGAAAAAATTTCTTCAGAAGCATGTTTCTTTGTGTTTTAGAGTTTATTCTTTAGAAATAAATTTCAGTTGGATCTTGAGAGTTGAGACCTAAAAATAAAGTAAGGTTCTAGAGGCATACCCAATTATCAGAAGGATGAGAGAAGAAACACAGAAAACCAATTGATACCTGATACGAAGCAGCGGCAGTGACGACTGATAACTGTGGCGGTGGAGACGGCGGATGAGAGCGTTGCGGCGGTGAATCGATGAACAGGTGGAACTCGCGGCGCGTCGATCGGCTGAGGAGAACTGTCGCGGCGGCTGAGGGAGTCGCTGATGAGGCGTCGGCGCCGCCGTGTGTTGAGGGAGGGAGGTGAGGCGTCGATTGGCGTGTGTTAAGGGAGGGAGGTGAGGACAGAGAAATGTTGAGGATTGTGAGCGAGGGTTTTCGATGAACCCTTGTACGAGAATTATTTTTTCTTTTTTGAATTTTTTTTTAGATATTGTTTCCGCTGCCTTTGCTAAGAGAAAGGGCAGCGGGAAACTCTTTTCGTCTCTTTTTTTTAAAGAAACCGCTACCTTATTTTAGAAAGGGTAGCGGTTTCTTATACATTTATTTACAATAATGCCACCGTCCTATTTTTTTAAAGTAATACACTATCCTTGTTTAAAGAAGGGTAGCTTAAACTCTAATTTCTTTGCTCTATTTTGTACTAGTGGTTGCCAATCATGGTGATCTTTGGATCAAATTCTATTGTTATTATGACGTTGTTGATGGTCTATTCATGCCTTTCATTGAAATCTATCGGTTGTATTCCTTGTTATGATCTCGTACATATGTTGTACACATTTGTTGATACTTGATTGGGCTATTGATGAGCCTCAATCCTCTATGATGATGACTGTGTAATGTTATGAAATTGGTGGACAATAATGAAAGGAGATAGACTATCACATGATTAGTACTATTCTACAATGATTAACGACATTACGAATGTCTGTGTTCGGTGGCACGCTGGCGGAATGCAGGCGGGGAGCATGTATTGGCTCTGGAGGGATAAGGTTGGACTTGGTGTACAGGGTGGCACTAGGAGGTAATGGTTGGAACTGTAATAAGGTTGGCCTGGTGAGAATGGTTGGAACAGGGCATAAGGTTGGAACTTGAAACTTTTATGTATCTTTGAATGTGAATCTTGTCTCTCATGGTTTATGAGTATGACTTATGTTGTCTCTCGATTGATTATCGTATGATGTATCTTATTGTTAAGCATGTTACTTATGTCGTTCTTATTGATTATTGAGTAACCGTTTGATGTTGGTCTTTACTTGAGAGTGATGCTATGATGAGTCTTATGTTGTCTCTATTCCTCGTTTTAAAGACTATATAATGTATTCCAAGTCTCAAATGTTTTTCTCTATATCTATATTATATGGTACTCAACAAGTATTGGTGTGTTACCAGCATTATTCGTTGACGGGTGCTATCCCTTATGTTTTACAGGTTTTGAGTAGATCGTGAGAGCGCGCTAGATGAGGATCGAGATAGCGTAGCTTACCATACAGTAGTTCTAGTCTTGTGGCCTGTGAGCCTAAGTTTATGAATTGTGAACTTATGTTTGAATTTGGTTTTAGTTTCCAGCCTGTGCATCTATAGTTAGATAGATGTGGCGTAACTCCCTCGTATTTTACTGACTAGCTTTCGCTAAGCGTTGACTTAATGATTAGTATTATATTTATATTTAAGTTTTAATTATGCTGAAAAATCGAGGGTGTTATACCAATTACCAAGGATAGAAAATTAGCTAGAATTGCGTTTAACATTAAGAGTTCAAACAGGATTTTATCATAGAATTTTTCATCCTAAAGGAGCCGAACATAGAATGTTGGCCTTGCGACTAAACTCAGAGCTAAGTGTTCTTATTTTTTTTAAAGAAAAACATGTATACATTCATATATTATGGCTGATGCGACAAATTGTTTAACTTGAAAATTGTTTCCTGGCAATTCTTTGCTTATGCTTATGCATATGGATGGCCATGTAATATTGTTGGAGTATTGAGATCCATGGTTTACATAAATGAAAAAGGAATTGAATAGTCTTGCGATGACCTGAGAATCGTCAAACAATCTCCTAGAAAAGCTAAGTGTTGGTTCCAAACGAGGTGAGATAAAAGTCTAGAGGGGGTGTGAATAGACTTTTACACCGATTCGTTAAATTCGAATTTTGCTATGGTAATAAATAAAACAAAACCCTTAACCAATTGTTAGAGTCTTGTGCACAACGAAATATTAAAATGAGTGTTGTGATTGTGTCAAGTGTATTTCACGTGAGGTGCAAGCAAGCAAAGATAAATAAATAAAGCAGTAAAGAGCACAAGGATTTATAGTGGTTCGGAGGTAATGTAATCCTCTTACCCCACTTTCTTCCATCTCCAGGAGGAATTCACTATATCCACCACTCCTTGGTTACAAGATACAATGAATTTCGTGATCTAGTGCTTTGATCTACTATATGATTCTATTCAATTTTCTATTTGTAAATATATATCTTTACATAACTATATTTCCAGTAACATATATATATGGATTTTTTTTTTAAATATTTCTAGTAACTTTACATTTTATAAAATATATAACCGAGAGTCCCGGCTAAATCATTTTTTTTTTTGTTGACATACTCGGCTAAACCTTATAATTACACAATCCTTATATTCTTAGTATAAAATAACATTTGATGTAAAAATTATTAATTTTCATCTCGATTAATATTCTTTACATTTCGGCTAAACCTTATATTTACATCTCGTATTGCAAAACATTTTCCATCTTTTTTTTTTTGAAACAAACATTTTCCATCTTTAATTACAAAATTTTCCTTATAAATTATGCGTGGATACTAAACGATTCTATTCCATTTTCCATTTTTAAATATATATATATATATATATATATATATATATATATATATATATATATATATATATATATATATATATATATATATCTTTACATAACCATATTTCAGCAACATATATATACCCTCACCAAAAAAAAAGCAACATATATATACAATTTTTATTTTATATTTCTAGTAACTTTATATTTTATAAAATATATACCCGGGATTAATATTCTATCTATATACTGAGTCAGTTTGGAAGCATTTTTAATCAAGTATTAATTATCATTTTCCTATTCAAATTTACCTACTTTTCATGTAATTTTTATTCTCAGTCAATGATTCTTTTTAATACATATTAATTAGTTAATTTACCTATACTATTGTTTGGGCAGTCTGACCAAATCGTTTTTCATTTGAATCAATTTGATATCATTTTTAAATTTTAATCCAACATTAATAATCATTTCTTTTTCCAATTGGCCTAATTTCTATGCAATTTTATTCTCTGTCAATTTTTTTTAATACATATTGAACTCATAGAATTATGATTTTCTCATCAAATAAAAGATGTAAAGAAAAAGATTGTGTTTTTAACAAAATTGTAAACACAACATGGAGTTCACAACTAAGAGATTTAGCTAAGCTTCTACTACCATAAATGGGGTTGATGGTATCTCGTCTTTCTCGTTTCCCATTTTGAGTTGAACGGTGATTCCCTGAAGGATATGGACATACCACATTTGCACCATTGGCAATCATAAATATCAACTATAACGCCACCAAAACAAAACTTTGATTTGACTAGACATGTTTTCATTTGTAGTAATATAGAGCTAGTCCTCAAAAATCAGATATCATCATATACCTTATTCTTTCAAAAAAAAAAAAAAAATCACATACTTTATGTTTGTCTGTCTTTTGAAGATAGAAAGGACCACCATTGCCCAAATGGCTGCTCGGAAGCTTCCAATCTGAATCAATGTCTACCAAAACTGTAAGAAAAACTACAGAAATCACGACGGAGCGGAGCATTGCCATGCCCATATCATTTCATTTGACACGCACACTACAACCCAAAAATCAAACGTGATATGTTTCTAGGCATTAACCAATTCCAAGAAACACCCATCACAGAAATTTCAAGCAAACCCAACTAAAAAATTTGTAAAGAAAATCCCGAGAAAACTAAGATTTCTAAAGATACGACATTAAAATGTTTATCCTTAACAATACAAAAGCTGCGTTTTTCTTCCGCCTCCGGCGTAATTTCACAAAAAACTTTGGCCAAGACTTGCCTGAAGCTCAGTGGTGAGTGGTGACATGATACTCATCCATGTCAACGTAGTTCTTGTTAATGGCGGCCATGATAAGCTTGTTGCACTCAGGCTCCATCCAAGTGGTCACAAACGACGCCAAGTTCAACCTCGGATTACCGTCCAGCATCAGCTCATCATTTATCATCTGGAACGCGACTTCCTTGGGATCGAGTTCTCCGGCATTTTAAACCTACGATCATTTGCCGGCGTCACTACAAGAATGAAGACATTTAGTGACAAATCTTTTGTGACACTTCATAATTTAGTCACAAATAATACGTTTTTTGTGACCAAAAAAATAAGTCGACACTATTATGTGGGATAATTGTGATAACTTTTTTTTGGTCATTGATAGTACGGTAATTGTGACAAGAAAGTATTTGTTACGAATAAGTTGTCACTATTACTAGAATAATAATGTCGTAACATACATTGTCACTATTTGTTGTCACTAAATGTATGTGCATTTTGGCGGCATTATAATTATGGCGGGAACGAATGTAATTGTGACAAAATATAATGTCGACACAAATGTTTGTATTTTTTGTGACAAATAGTTGTTGGTCACTCTTGCTTATAATATTTGTGACAACTTTTTTGTCAATAAAAATACAATATGTTAGTACCATTAGAAATGAGAAATAATTGTGAGAAAAAAATATTATTGTCACTAATATTATCACTTTTTGTGATGAAATTGTTTAAAATATTTGTGATACTCTATAATTCCGTAACAAAAATTACTAAATTGTGACGATATTTATGTTGATTTCAAGTTTTGTCACTAATTTATGATAATTGTGACGAGTAATTAGTTGTTACAATGACTTTGTCCCTATAATTAAATAGATGAATATTATCTGAAATTGTGTTGTAATCAATGTTTGCCACTAAAATTGCATTCAAGTTGGTGTCAAGTAATTTGGTGTGAACTAGGTATTAAATATTGTGGTCACTTAAAATGCAACT